ACAAGTTGATTGCTCAGTGTTAAGATGTTATTTAGGAACTTTAAAAAATTTAGTGTGAACCTAGTGGATTCAAGATTCATGACTTGAGCTCAACTTTATTTTATTGAGGATAAGCCGCTAAGTCTGAAAACTCTATCTCTTGAGGCATTACGGTGATGGTGAAAGAAAAATGAAGATTACAAGCAAGATTAAAGTGTGACTTCCTTGGCTGCACTTTAATATTTTAAAAATAAGAACTCATTAATTTTTGAAAAGTTCAATGCGATACATATATAGGTGGTCCAGTTTCAATATCAAGCGTTAGATATGATCGTTTGAAAGGTAGAGAGCGGAGGAGTGGGGTGGGGGGATGGAGGAGGTTGAAAAAGAGATCGAAAGGAACAAACTTCACAAATTAAGTGGAAAGTTTATTACGCAAGACTGTCTTTGTAGAGCATCTGTGCATAATTTTCAAGTTCAATTTTGAAAGTGTGTAGGATTAAAAAAAGACTGTATTTGTACAGACTTACCTACTTTTTAGAAACTTATTAGCCATATAGACCTTCTTTTGTGATTATAGTATTTTACCTCAAATCTGCGGCAAATTCAGATATCTGGATGTAAAAAAACGAAGGGCTTTCCAGCTTGAAATGTGATAAAATACAAACTACCCTTCTCTCTTTCGATACAGAAATATCGGCATAATATCTTTTCTTCCAAGGTGCACGGTTTTTAGCGGGAAAATCCCCGTTGGAAAATTATGCACAATAATAATAGATTTGCTGAAAGCAATCAAACTTTTCGGGTGGGATAATTCATGACTCAATCATTTGAATATAACAAAGTCAAAGTTCAGAGAATAGAAATCCAAATTCTCACTCTGCTTCTTTCAAACCGTTAAAAATAGACCACCTTAACATAACAGATAGTCAGTGCCATCTACAGATTTCATCCTTTTATCAGATTGGGTCACATCCAAATTTGCTAGAGTCACATTTGAAACGGCAAACTTAGGCACCTGCATCTTACAAATTTCAACAATGTGGGTAAGTACAGTACTTCGTAAGTTTCCGCCTATGCGGAACGTTGTTGGTTGGTACATCCTTGAACCTGCTCATCTTGAAGCATTTTGCACTTTGATTAGAAACAGGACTACAGGCCAACGTTTACATATGGACATTTAAACTACAAAAACGCTTTAACTTGCTTTAGAATATCCTACTAAGTAAAACACGGAGTAACTTGTTTTCTCCAAAAAAAAACAACACCGGCAAGGAGAGAAACCGCAGTGAAATTTTTGGACTTTTACACGCAACGAATTCCTCACATGCTTTACTGGGTATATTCCAACAAGTGCTATTCCCATCAAAGAACAAACTACTAGCTGCTAAAAAGCATGCTAACTCAGCTAATTCCAACTGAAATATTTGCAGCTTCTCTCAAATTGGCAAAGAAGGCCCTTTATATATATGAAGTGGTCACTGCTTGCCTATAGGATTTATTGTTCCGATCTATAGCACGGATGGAAACATTCACCTACTTAAGCCAGTTCATGATACGAAATCGGCCACATTTGGGTCTCAATCTCTCTTATCTAATCACACCAGTAATGATTTGTCCCTAGACGAAAACACAAGCCGTATCCCAATGGTTAACATGCAAACCTTTTATAAACGTTTTTGAACAGCTGCCATAATGTATTTCTTTGCAGTAAAGCGACAAATATACGCAATGATACCTTCCTATGGAAACTCAAAATCCCGAGATACATTCAAATCTCCAAAGTTTACGAGCTTACTGAGATATGTCTTAAAATGGTGGCCAAGTTTTGGTTGTCTATCCCATGGCTGACAGAATGATGTTTGTTAGATTATTCACTGTTAAAACGCGATAACTGCATCTTTTTGATCCGTTTCCAGGTTTGTTCCCTAGAGAAGCCGGTTATTTTTTAAAATTGTTTCTGCTTTTAAAGTTTGTGTGCCGGCCATATTTCTTCTAAAGATGAGAACACAAACGAGGATTGCGACTGTCACTGTCAGACGAGTGAACACAA